AAGAGTGTTGACTTCTTATCATGACAAGAATAAATGGTAGTATCATCTGCGAACAATGCCGCCTTAAATGTGAGAATAAGTGGAAGATCGTTAATGTAAATTAAAAAGAGTATAGGGCCAAGGATTGAACCTTGAGGAACCCCTAAAGTTACAGAATATGAAGAAGAGTGCTGTCCATCAAGGACAACTTTTATACTATGATTGGAAAGGAAGGTTTCAATAATCTTAAAGATGTTACTATATACGCCATAAGAAGAAAGCTTATGGAGAAAACCTGCATGCCAAACATTATTGAAAGCTTTAGAAATGTCATCAGTCTTAACCTCTCCACCTTTACGCAATAACCAAAGGTTTTATCACCTTTCATGGCTGTTTCACTCAATATAAACGCGAGCTTGACGTCATTTATTTTTGTGTTCATCAAAAAAAAAAAGCATCTTCGCAAAAAAATTTTAAAAATGCACTAACTTTAAAATAATAGTGTTTTTTTCCCATAGCGCTTCCATCTTCAAATAAAAAAAATATGAAAGACCTATCTTTTTTTTTAAATAAACATTAACATTAAACGGAATAAAAATACCCATTGTTTAAATATTGCCAACGGTGTGGGATCACTTTTCCGTTTTTTGTGGTTTTCACAGAAAACCTGTCTTGGGTCAACCAAGATTTCACAACACAGCTACATGCCTCATGGTTGAAATTTGGAACATTTATAAATAAGTGTCTATTTTATTTAATTTTTGGTGCGGATTGCTTATTTTTTATTTTTTAACTATTTTTTAATGCATTTATATTTTTAATTTTATTATTAATTAATAAAAATTGTATTATTTTTGTAATCCGCACCAAATTATTGAAATTTCAACCCTTTCTGCATATAAAAATCAGAAAATTATTTTCTGTACCTCTAGCTATGTTATGAAATATGTTTTCAAACTTGGCTAGTTTAGAAACAAATTTTTCTAGTTTATTGTGCAAAACATTGTTTACATTTTAAAACAATCACGTGATCTTAAATTCAGTACATCCCAAGCAAATATGTAATAAATTTTATGAAAACAACTTTTTTAGCAAGACAAATTTTGAAGTATAAAATGAACGAAGTTAGGCGGTTTTTTCTTTAGAATGATGCATAAATCTATTATCAACTGGGTGCACAAAGATCGTTTTGTACTTATTAGTAATTACTTATTTTGTACTTATTAGTGGTTTTGTACTTATTAGTGGATATATTTGTACTTATTAGTGGATCAGCTCATTGTAAAATAGTTTTTTATGAGAATAAAAACACATTATCAAAAATTTAAATTAGCTATTTGTATATTTAAATAAACGTTTTATTTTTTGTGAGAAGAGTGAAGTGAAGTGTGATTTAAGTGCCATAATTAATTCTATATCCATAAGCGAGGTTAATTCAAAAACTTTAAACCAGTTTTTCTCATGAATTATTATATTGCGAGTCTTTATTTATTAACAACCCAACGCCATATTATAAAAACTGTATGCATAGAAAGAAATAAATGGCTTAAGTTTTTTAAAGGCTTTAGCTTAAAATGTTAAGACTAAAAATCGAAATCTGGCTTTATTTTGTAATGCACTGAATTTATCAACTTAGTGAATTATTTTCTAAAACAAGAATTTCTAGATTTAAAAACATACTCATTTAATAGTTAATGGCCCCTTTTAACGACTTTTTTCATAAGTTTTCAAAAAATGCGGTTTGCTTGCAAACTTCAATAAAGACTGTTTTAGTTAACCTTTAACAATTAAGTAAGGTTTTCTTATTCTAATAATAGTCAAACAATGAGTGTATTTGATAATAGCCATCAGAAATATATTTTTCTGATTTTTTTTTTGATAAAAAGTAACAACAAGTTACTAAAATTTAGCTGAGCTCATCATTTTTTGCGTTTTTTATAAACTAAAAGAAGTTTTTTTACTATTGTATTAAATGTCGAATGATAAAATATTTTATTGTTGCTTTACAAGACAAAATTATCTCTAATATTTCAAAAGTTATAAATGTTTCATTAACACCCCCTAAGTCAATATTTTCAAAAAAAAACAAAAGCCGTAAAGCTCACTCTGAAACAGCCGTGCTTTATGATAAAACATATTGGTTATTACTGTTAGCAAATCAGCTGTAGAACGAGAAGATCAAAATCCATATTGATGATGAGAAAGTAAGTTATTAGATTCAAGATGAGAGATTAAATGTTTGTTAATTAAAGATTCAAAAACCTTGCTTATGATAGGAAGAAAATTAATGGGACAGTAGTTAGATGAATCAGATCGCTCTCCAGAATTTTTGAAAATATAACAGATGCCACTTTTCAGCAGGCTGGAAAGCAAGACTCTGATAAGTACTTGTTGAATAGTTTTGAAAGTATAGATGACAGCTATGTAGTATTTAAACCATAGACAATTCTATGTTTTAAATACTACATGTAATTTTATTTATACTCAGGACTGACAAGAAGATGACCCTGGAGAACACTTCTGAAAGGCTATAACAGGTATGTTGTCCAAACCACAAGCTGTAGAAGAGTCAAAGCAGGAAATCACTTTAGATACAGAAGCTGGAGTGATATGAATGTCAAGTAATGGATCAATCTGTTTGACAGCTAAATCAGGTAGAACTCAATGAGAGGAATCAGAAAATGATATTGATGAAAAGTTCTTTAGATGAGGTGACAAAGTCTAAACCATTCAAGAGAGGTGGAATAACAGATTATTGATACTCTTAAAGGTTTTCCAGAAGTCATAAGAGCCTTATCTTTGAGATGAAATACATGATTTCATGACCTCAGAATAGTGGGCTTATATACTAAAAGTGTATAAAAAAAGAAGTATTCCCTTAGCACCTGGAATTGTCGAGAGGGATTAAAAGATTCCATGCCAGCTTCAATCCACGAAGTTATGTAGGAAGCACATTTGTCAGCAGGAAGACAAAAGCTTTAAGTTAGTTGTAAGAGTGATATAATAGTTTTAGAGAGATTAAACTGTGAAGCACTTAAGGGTGAATGTGGAGAAACAAAGCACTGTCTAGGATCAGAAACAAATCATAAGTCGAGTAGAGAAAGTAAATGATTCGGATTGTCTGGAAAGGGAGTTGGAAAGTTGACTTTTTGAGTTTGGGATTGAGAAAGGCCAAAGTTGTGGGATTTAACGCCTGCAGAGTCACTTACACTAGAGCCAAGCCATTCAGTGTGATGAACATTAAAGTAACCAACAACAACGATATATGCTGATGGATAATAAGAAGAAGCTTGGTCAATTTGATCAGATATAACATCAAAAAGAGTGCAGTCTCAAGATGGAGAGCGATATAGAACAAAAGTGAAGTGAAGTGGTGCTAAACGAAAGCACATAAAAGAAGAGTCTGCGGATTCAAACCTAGTTTCCCAACAAATGGGGGAATTCTTACAAATGTAAATGTCCAGGCCAAACATGTGACTATTTATGAATTAAAGGAAAATAACCAATTAAAATTAAGATCACAAGATGAGAAAGCTGAACTCAAGTTAGTCTCACAAAGAGCAAGTAGGTCTGGTGAGCTTTGCAAGAGATAATACTCAACAGAAGATAAGTTACTTCGAAGACCACAAATATTAGTGAATGATAAGTTTAAAGAACTTGTTGATAACGATGGTTTTTATTTTATAGTTTTTGATACTTTAGTCATTTTTAAATTTGTTAAAGAACTTGATTCAAAGTATAAATAGTACTCAGTACACTGTTTAACAGCTCAAGCAATTGCCTCCTTTCTATTAATAAACCCTAACCCTCAACATCTATGTGCAAACCACACTGTTAATAATTTGATATTTTTTAGCTTTTTTTTTTTTTTTTTTTATATATTTATTTTAATTCACCTCCTCAAGGCCGAGAAGGCCGTTACAGACGAGGAGGCTACTTATTTGTGGTTATAACCCTCTCTATAACTCCGAAACACAAACTTTGGCGAGCAAGGCCGCTGCGCGGAGAAACGAGTTGAGCGCGGTACTACCAGGGACGTGGTGGGGATCGAACTCGGAACCACTCGTTTATGAAGCGAGCGCTCTACCACTACACCACTACCGCATAATTGTTGTTGGAAGCTGTTGATGGAATCAGCCTCTATGAGAGCTACCACAGAGTTCGGGAAACCTGACTACTAGCCCGCCTCAGAACCATAAAACTGAGTTATAGAGCTGTACTCTCTTTAGGAGATATTGTTACTGGCTTTAATAAGACTATTTAGAATTAATTTGTTGATTACTATTTAGAATTAATTTGTTGATTATTATCAAAGAGCTCATTCAAAATATAAGATAAAAGCATCATAACCATTTTGTTTAAAAAAAAGAAATTAATAGTAAAATTAACCAAAAAACATTTATTTTTATTGATATTAGTAGAAGTAATTATTGTTTATAAAATTATAGGTAAGTAATGGAATTAATGTAATTAATTGTGTATAGTATACTGCCCTATTAAGTCAAAAAGATATTGCTCTAAATTTCATAATTGTTAGATTTTAAGTGTTTTATAAAATTGAAAAGTACACCTGCCTGAAAATTTTTTTTTTTTAAACAGTTTTCAGGATGATAATCAACTTTATACATCTTTTTGACTTAGTAAAATGTTCAGTATCTTTTTTACTTTATAACGATACCAATAACTTGTTTTTTAGAAAAAGAAGTATAATGATTGATATCTAGTATGATATCTTTCACAATAAACCTCTTTCACACTATATAAACTGCATCTTCTGTGAAATGAAGTTAAAAATAAAAGAGATTTTAATAAAGCTTTCTAAAGCATTTACAGAAACTTGGTTCAGTATTATAATAAAGATACATCTTGTGAATTTTTTTATTTAAGAAATAACAAGATGTGTCATTATATGTTTTGCTAATACTACTTTGTGTTTATTATTTGGTTCAAAGTTTGTTTTGATATAATTTAAATTTATAATAAACTTTTAATTTTATTGTAATTAATTTTTTTATATTTAGTAAGAAGTCCAACTGATATAATATTAGAAGTTAAACCTAAAAAGTCACCTGATTCTTATCTGAAATATAATTATTTAGATACTAAAGGTAATTTTATTATATATTTTATTATAGTTGCTTACTTTTTTTGTTAATTGTTGTGCAGTTGTAAAATACAATTTGACACAAAGGGGTTATCATAAAACATAAAAAAACATTGCTCATTTTGTGAATTGTATTTGAAAAGTAAAGTTGATTGTGTCATAACTTAAATTATTGTTCACTTTGTAACTTAAATTCAAATAGGGATAGATGTGCTGTAGCTTCTGTCCTTAAAAAACATGGGTAAAATGAGACTATAAAAAATGAATAATATGATTCATGTTAACAAACAATAAAAACTGTAGCTTGATTTTAAAATCAAAAATTTAAATAATTTAAAGCTTCATTTATTTACATATCAATACTATTTCATATTAATATAAAGTTCTAAATAGTATTTTTTTTTTTCTAAATCTATCAACAAATTTTTTAAACAAGTTGGCTCTATTAAACAGTTAAACATAAACACTTTAATAATTGGATGAAAAAAAGTTCATCAATTTGAAACTCTCATCTGATGATCAAATGAGACACACCCAATGTACACACCCAAGTGTGTATATTGGGTGTGTAGCATTAACATTGGGTGTATAGCTTTGGGTCTTAAAAATTTTGTGTGTCTGAAGTATTTCTAAAATTCAACGAATAGGAGGGTAGGAGGGTAGGGGGTTTAATAAACCAGAGGTTTGTAATTTGAATAGTGAATAAGGAAAACAACAAATTTTCTTTATTGTGTCTTGATTTACTGTTTGTGAAATTAATTTATATTAATTGTTTACAATTCTGTTGGTCAAAAAAATGTATCTTGGTAAGCATAATTTTATGATCTGGTTAGTAATGGAGTACTGATTTCTTAAATGCAGTTGTTTTAGTGCTTCCAAAACTTGTTGTACTTTTTTATACCATGATATAAAAGTACAACAAATTTAATTGCATAATTTAATAATATTTTACTCTGGAAATAAAAATGGCATCTTCAATTTATAATTGATCAAATATTTTACTTTTTTATAAAAAAATTTAAATCAAAAAAGTACTTTAGTAATTTTCATAAAATTTTTTTTTTTTTTTTTATTAACCTCTTCAAGGCCGAGAAGGCCACTACAGACGAGGAGGCTACTTAAAAGTGGTTATAACCCTCTCTCAACTCTATAACTCCGAAACACAAACCTTGACAAACAAGGCCGCTGCGGGGAGAAACAAGTTGAGCGCGGTACTACAAGGGGCGTGGTAGGGATCGAACTCGGAACCTCTTGCTTATGAAGCGAGTGTTTTACCACTACACCACTACCGCATAAATTTATATATATATATATATATATATATATATATATATATATATATATATACACATATATATATATATTATATATATATATATATATATATATATATATATTTTAAATGTTGACATCTTCAATAGATTTTATTTGCATAAATATTTTAAAATAAAACTTCTTTTTATGGATTGATTTCTATTTTCAAAAATTATATTTATTTTTACGATATTTCGAGGGAATATAGATACCCTTGTTATCAAGTATATAAAAACCGTTATAAAAAAAATTATATATATATATATATATATATATATATATATTATATATATATATATATATATATATATATGTATATATTTGTAATATATGTATATATATATATATATATATATATATATATTATTTTTTATTTTAATTCACCTCCTCAAGGCCAAGAAGGCCACTACAGACGAGGAGGCTACTTATTTGTGGCTATAACCCTCTCTCAACTCTATAACTCCGAAACACGAACCTTGACGAATAAGGCCTCTGCACGGAGAAACGAGTTGAGCGCGGTACTACCAGGGACGTGGTGGGGATCGAACTCGGAACTACTCATTTATGAAGCGAGTGCTCTACCACTACACCACTACCGCATATAATATATATACCGCATATATTTGTAATATGTATATATCTAAATATCTATCCATATATATATATATATATATATATATATATATATATATATATATATATATATATATATATATATATATATATATATATATATATATATATATATATATATATGTGTGTGTGTGTATATATATATTAAGGCGGGCCAAATTTTTTGTTGATTAGAGCCGCCCCCTAGGATGATTCTATGGACAATTCTAAACAACTGAAGGAACCATAGGTCTATCTCAATTTTTGAGTCTCCCACTTTTCAAAAAATGATTTTTTCCCCTATAACATCATTTTGATTCAAAATTTGATTTTTTATTCATCATTATATTATCTTTTTTATGTGTAATCACATTATCTGGGGTAAAGAAATTCATTTCTGATCTTTTTTTTTTACCAATGACCACTGCCAGAGGACGTTTCATGCATATTTTAACTATTTTTTGTCTATTTTCTAGGAAAAATTACGAGTTTTTTGGTAGAATTGATCTTATTTTATTTTTTTCAACAGAAATTCAACCTAAAATATAAGAACATGTGTAAAAAAAAAAAAATTAATTTAGTGAGAAAAAAAAGCGACAAAGTGTTGTTGCTTTCAAGTCAGCAACGTATTTATTTAAAAAAAAAACATTGGTAAAACATCATTACCGACATATTTTGTGACAGAGCACAACAACAATGATATTTATGTGTTCAGTTTGTTCGTGTTTGAGCATTATTTCAGTGAAGGTAAATTATAAATTTATAGGCATCGATGTTGTTCTCTTGCTTGGTTACTTTTTTCTGAAATATGTAATATTTATGAAAATGTAATATGTATTTATATGTATATATACATGTATAATACATTGTAATGTACTTATATGTATAGCATGTAGGAATAATGTGCGTAGGAATAATATATTTGTATGAATGGCATGTCGGAATAATGTGTGTAGTAATAATGTATAGCATGCCGCCGAAAATCAAATTGGTCCTTAGGGGCAAAATGTCAAACGACATTTCGCCATCAACTATATATTGTTTCCGTTGCTCATTCATTCTAGAAAAATCTGCAAATCTTAACACATAAATTATCAGTTTTGGAAAAGAGAATAAAATTAATCTTAAAAAAAATAATAATCATCGTGCGTATTCAAAACAACATTTTATATGAGAGTATTTTTTTGTTTATGTTTTGTAAACAAAGCGTCTTCAAGTCATTTATTAAGCGTTCGTTTTTTGTTGCAAATCAAAATTTGATATTTGAATATAGATAAAATTTTCACTGTTTTTACCATTGTGTATTTAACAATTTGTAGGTGGAAAAAATATATTCGAACCAAATATTTTAAAATATACTAATTTCAGTTATTTTTTAATTCTTTTAGTTAAAGTATACAATGGATCCAAATGCATTGCCGTCTACATTGCAAACCGCAACAACATTAACAAGTACCCAAAGTTATTTGAAGCATTTGCCTTCGCACAATGTTGCTGTTTTTGGTGCATCTTGTGATTTGAGTGGACTAAATCTGCCAACGAAACAGGATATTTTAAGATGTTTTTTTCTTGGCTGAACGTGCTAAACAAAGTGTTTTTGTATAAAACATTTGTACCGCACGTAACAGACAAATTGATTGAAATTTGGGGTCAACTTAATGTTGAAATTCTAGCAAAAAAAGTGTTGTTAGAAAATTGGGTACATTGATTGAGAAGTATCAAATCGAAACTAAACATCCAAAAATCACTACATTCAGAACATTTGTGCAATCTACAAAAGATATATTTTACATCGGCAAATGTCAATGTGACTTAAAGGAAGCATTATGCTCATGTGGATTGATTTTAGATCATTTGAAAGAGTTCATGCGAGATCAAAATAATGTCAGAAGATTGACAATATCGGAATTCGAAGAACCAGCACCAGCGTCAGCAATAATATCAACAAGCGTTAAAGAGAGCCATTTAGCATATGAACCAAGTACCTAAAATGATGCTTTAACAATGGAAAAAATCGATGAGAAGTTCCATGCAAGGATCGTGAAAGAACCACATCTAGTTGTTTTGAAGGAACTAAATTCTCAATTGATAGGCTACACAAAAGTCGAAAATGAAGATGCTGAACAAAAATTGATGACATTGAATGCGTTTTTCGTCGAAAAAGAAATGCTCTCGATGCATTAATTGGCATATGCTGTGATGGTGAGCCAACATTTCTGACATAAGAAATGGGATTTTGTGTCGATTTAAATTGCATTTGAATAGACCACTGCATTGGTTTGTGTGCCTTCTGCACTTTAACGAGTTGCCATTTTGTCATTTGTTTGACACTTTGGACAGATCATCGACCACTGGACCACGAACAACAACCGGAACATTGGACAAACAAATTAAAATGTGTGAAAATCTTCCGGTATGTATCATTTGTCATTTTTCTCATTGTTTTTTTCCATTGTTAAATGGTAAAATTGCATTTAATTCATATAATTTTTTTTTCCAGCTTGTTAATGAATTCAAGATAATCATGCTAGAGAACATGCCACCTGATTTAGATCCATTTGAATTATCCACCAATTTAAAGTATTTATACAAAACGCCAATGCAATTTCAAATGGTGTTGTTCCTGCAGATTTGTCTCACATTAAACCAGGACCAATAGCACATTCACGTTGGCTCACCAAGGCAAATAGATTGTTGCGGTTGTATGTGTCAACTGAAAATCCATCAAGGAATTTGAAAATTTTGGCAACCTACATAATGAAAGTGTATGTGCCGATGCACAACATCAAGTACTATAATTCGGTGGCCTTCGGTAGTGTATTATTTTACAAATTCATTTGTTGGATACAATACTTGGATACAAATCTACGCATAGTTGCAATCAAGAAAATTTTACACTACCTGTACAACCCGGCACATCTTAGAGTTTATCAAAAACCTTTGAAAAACTTTATTTGTACAGATTATACGAATATGATTAATTTAAATAAAGATGATGTCTTTTTTGAACTACCGTTTACGCATAGCATTCGGTATGATCATTTGGAACAATATTTGAACCAAGAATTCCAGTACACATACAAGCAACGGAAAGACATGTTCAATTGCTGGCTAGCGTTTCTAAACGTGTTTTAAAAAAAAGTTGACACAGTGTTTTGGCAGTTACATCAGAAAGCCATGCAAAATACCCCAGACTTAAAAGCAAGAAAGTCTTTCAAAAATAACTTATTTTGCTTTTCTTCTACTAAATTCATTTTTTTTAATTTTTTACACATGTTCTTATTTTTTAGGTTGAATTTCTGTTGAAAAAAATAAAATAAAGATCAATTTTATCAAAAAACTTGTAATTTTTCTTGGAAAATAGATGAAAAATAGTTAAACTATGCATGAAACGCCCTCTGGCGGTGGTCATTGGTAAAAATAAAGATCAGAAATGAATTTCTTGACCCCAAAAACCCCCCATATACACATAAAATAGATAATATAAGGATGAATAAAAAATCAAATTTTGAATCAAAATGATGTTATATTGAAAAAAATCATTTTTTGAAAAGTGGGAGACTCGAAAATTGAGATAGACCTATGGTTCCTTCACCAAAGTTGCTTAGAATTGTCCATAGAATCATCCTAGAGGCGGCTCTAATCAAATTTTTTGGCTCCATACTAGTTGGTCTGCTCATATATATATATATATATATATATATATATATATATATATATATATATATATATATATATATATAATATACAATTTAAATTAACCATATTTTTATAATATAGTTTTGAGAATTATAATGTAGTAAAATTAGAATTTTATTTGATTTATTTTTAGATATAGAGGTTGCTGATAATTTGGTCATTAAAAGAGATAGTTAGTGATTTTTTTTTTTGATTTTTTTTTTGATTTTTGATTTTTTGTTTGTAAAATCATAGGTTATAAGGATGGAAACGATTTAGATATTTGTATTTGATTTACAACAAGTACAATTATTCTAATTTTAACTTTCTCATACTTATTTAGGTTTAAAAAGTGAAAAAAATGACAACAAAAGTGAAAATGAATGCGAAAATAATCGTGACTCGGTATACGATTATTTTGACAGCCAATGTAAGATTAAACAAAATGTTCAGTAGAAAATTTTTTTGTTTTGAAATTTTTTCTTATTCAGTCTTATCAGTTTTTTTTTTTTTTTTGTATCATTTTTTTTAAGCTGTTAAATTTTTTTGACAAAAACAACTAATGCAAAATAACTAAAGATGGCTAATCAATAAACAATGGACTCTTAGGGCAAATAACAAAAAACAATTTTAAGACAAACAACAAACCATAGCTAATGTACCAATTTAACAAGTTGTTTTTTTTAGCTTATCTTGAAGGAAATTATGTTGATGAAACTCTAACCAAAGTTGTTATTGGTATGTTTACTTTATTGTTATTAACTCTTTAGTCTTAACTTATCTTTATTGCTTATCTAAATTTTTCTCATCTTATAAAACTTTTGATTTTTAATTTTTTTCTTCTTTATTTATATACTTCTAGTATAAAAATATATGAACACTAGAATTAAGAAATATATATACGTATATATAAAGAAAAACATATATGTATATATATAACATATATATATATATATATAACATATATATATATATATATATATATATATATATATATATATATATATATATATATATATATATATATATATATATATATACATATATATATATATATATATATACATATATATATATATATATATATATATATATATATATATATATATATATATATATATATATATATATATATATATATATATATATATATATATATATATATATATATTAAAGTAATTTAAATGAAAAAAATACAACTTTATAATGGAACTCAAAGTTTCATGCCATTCGGCAATCATCAGCCATATTATTCCTAATAATAAGGCTGATGATTGCCGAATGGCATGATGGAATAATATAGAATAATGATGATATGATGGAATAATGAATGGAATAATATGGCTAATGATTGCCGAATGGCATGAAACTTTTAGTTCCATTATAAAGTTGTATTTTTTTCATTTAAATTATTTTAATATAATTTGATCTATCTTTTTTAAAAAAAAATTTTGATCACTCTTAAACCGACAAGAGTTGTATTTCCATCAGTATACAACATTTATCAATAAATAAATAAATATATATATATATATATATATATATATATATATATATATATATATATATATATATATATATATATATATTTTATATATATATACATATATATATATATATATATATATATATATATATATATATATATATATATATATATATATATATATATATATATATATATATATATATATATATATATATATATATATATGTATATATATAGAAATAGTGTGGTTTATTTTTAGTTTATAAGGACCTAGCAGACATTGTGTCTGAATATATGCTAAACGAAGTATAACCCAATATTTTTTTACTTCTAAAAAACATTTATTTTCAAAACGCGGTATAAAATTTTTTATTTATTTTCAAAATGTGGTATTTAATTTTGACCAATCCGTGGCAAATGTATATTACTTCTGCGCAAGCGCAAATATTTTAAAGTTGCGTTAAAGAAATGGCGGATTGGGATGGACAAGATTAATGTGTTACCTAATATCCTATTTCACATAGAAACAAAAGAAAAGAAAAGCATTTCTTAATTCTAGTGTTCGTTTAAACTACCATGCTTTGTTTGTTTAACTGAACGAATTATGGAATAATGATAGAAAATATATTAAAAAGGCAACTTAAATTAATAAGTTTAAATATATTTGTTACCTGTTTTTTAATGGAAAGCATTCAATAATAATACTTCCTTTTTAATTTTTGTTAAACCAACAATTGCTTTGTTGCAAATAAAATGAGGCTATTGCAGTATTTCATTTTTAAAATTTTATTTTGTTCAAAAATATAACGATGACTTTTATGTTATATTTATTGTCCATTAGTTCTATGGAGACTTTAAAATAGTGATCATCGTTGTTACAACTACACAACACTAAAAAAATATTATTGTTTATTGTCCATATTTAACTCTTCGAAACAAATATAAATTTACAATTGCGAATTGTGAAATGTAATAGTTTACATTACTTTAATAAAACATTGTTTACATTCACATCAATAAAATATAATGACCAAACATTAAATACACATATTTGTTCAATATGTTAACTAAAATTAATCATTAAAACTTATTCAGGTCTTTTAAAGTTTAAAAACTTTCCATAACATCTTTATAAAATAAATGCAAACTTATTGACAAAAAAAAAAAAAAAAATTATTTAATAATATTTTATTTATTAACATTATATAATATACTTTATGTATATATACATTAAGAAACAATAATTTTTCCAAATATACGAGACATGTTGGTGTGGCGAAAAAAGTCAATTATCTCAATACCACAAAAATGGATATACCGCATTTTGAAAATACACTCTTCATATATATATATATATATATATATATATATATATATATATATATATATATATATATATATATATATATATATATATATATATATATATATATATATATATATATATATATATATATATATATATATATATATATATATATATATATATATATATATATATATATATATACTTTCCTATAATGACAGTGGGAACTCTTAGTTCTTATCCACTTGGCCCTGCTGATTTGACGGAATCAAAAAGGTTAATAAAAGTAGAAATTTGCAAACAAAAAAGAGTAGAAAAAAAAACTAAATAAGAGAAAAAAAACACATGACTCAAAACCAAACTAATGCTCAAGATAAATAAAATGTAGAATCTCATCCTGGTTTTCAAGGCAATGCAGCCCAAATTCTTCTGAACTTGTAGAGTATATTGTAAGAGTGCATTTTCCTTTCTGGAAAGAACCAAAACATGCTCTTTACCAGCTTAAGTTGCTTTAACACCAGTCACTAGATATTCAGTGTATAGTCATTCCAACTATAAGGTGATCTGCTTGGTATGCCTACTCTGAGTCATTATTCAAACTATGCTTTGTTCTGAGAACAAAGAAAAGAGAAGTTTCAGTGTAAACAAAATTGAAATAAGAATAGGTGATTAAAATGTACAACTAGGAGACCTATCTGTTAGACCAAGAAGGATACCAGATATCAACACTATTTATTTAAAAGATCTTATTGATTGGAATGAAGCTTTTGACCCACTATTAACTTGTTGCACTACAAATATCAAAGAGTACTTTTTTAATCAATGATTGTAGAAAAGTGGTGTTGCCACACTTAAGCTCTCAAAAAATGTGTAAAAAAAGTCACCCAGGCATCTGAAAATGTTTTCACAGAAGATAAGAGAGATGGTTGGATTAAAGGACAAAAGTTCTCAGAAATAATGTTACATAATCTATCCAAACAAAATCTTATTGGCATTGAATCTTAAATGTTTAAGAAATAATCTTTATTATAAAATTGTACTGTATTTTATTGTGCCAATAAATGTTTCATGGATTTATAAAAAGCAATTTATGTTTAGTTCTGTAACACATTTTACCTACTTACCTATCTCATTTTTCACTTACTACCTTTCTCATTTTTCACTTACAGCAGTGAGCTGGGGGGGGGGGCACAACTTTTTTGCTGTTTTTATAAAAATAAATTATTATTTTAGAAAAAGGTCAATTTTTTTAATTGTTAAAGGTTTAACAATTAAAAAAAAAAAGATAAAATAAAAAAATTACAAATTTTTCAGTCCCATTTACTTACTTTATTTGAAATATGTTATTATTGTTATGTTATGTTATTGTTAAAATTCACATGCTACAGCAAGCAGGTCATAAAAGAAAAATTATTTACAAGTTCAACTACCTGTTCCAAGCAATCAAAACATAATAAATTTACTGAAGTATTTAGTTTTTTTTGTTATTCACCTCCTCAAGGTCAACACTCGATAGGTTACTTTATTATGGTTACAATCCTCTCAACTTTAAACTTGGAAACAGGAACCTTGAAACAAGAAGAAATAAGTTAAGCAAGGTACTACCAGGGAGGTAGTGGGAATTAAACTTGGAACTTCTTGTTTATAAAGCAAGCACTCTATCACAGCACCACTTTTGCATTTTTGATTTTTATATAAGTTTTGAAATTTAAGCTAGTAAAAAAAAGTGTTCAAACTTTAAAAAGTTACCTTGTATGAGTATGAGGCAATCATTAACTGTATGATGACATGTATAATACAGATGCTTGAGCTATAAGCTTAACTATGAGGACATATTCTGTGTGATGGCATATATAATAAAGTTGGTTGAGCTATAAGCACATAAACTGGCTGATGCCTATAAATGAAGATGCATATTTACATAGCACTGTGTGATGTCAAGATGATTGAGCTATCAGTACATAAAATGATAACATTGCTGGGACAAATATTTAAAAAAAAAATTAACTTATGAACTATAAAGAGTTTTGAAGAACTCATGGAATCAGTAAGTTAATTTCAAGCTTCGCTCAAATTCTTCAGCACTACTCAGCATTAAAGATATATTTTCTTGAAAAAATCCAAAAAGTCTATTTTGAATGTCCAATGATACAAAAGATTAAAAATGATGATCTCCATTATTTGGTGTCTCTAGCCGAGAGTCTACAAGGATTTCTAGAAAGTTTTCAAAAAGCAGAACCAATGGTACATGTATTGTACACAAAAGCAAACAAGCTATTGCAGTTGCTTATATGCAAAAATCTGAAACAAGAAGTTATCTCTAGCAAAGTAGGTGAAGATTTAGTTGACATTAGCTGTTAAGATTCTAACAAATAACTCAAACTTACATCTATTGATATTGGTTTTGTAGAGAAACAAGCAGTTTAAACACAGATGAAAGTAATCAGTCCAAATGTCCAATGAGAAAGTTAAAAGTTGCTATTGCCACATATCTGCAACATCATTCACCAATAAAAAATCTTGAGAAACTTTCAGTGTATTCATCTATCATTTAGAATATTAAAGCAGTGAAAGTTGCACATGCAAAGTATGTATGGATTTCATAAAGATACAAGCACTAATAGCTTTTGTGATATTTTTTTGAAGCCTACATAACCAGTTCAGAATACTACTGAATGGGTTATGTAGGCTTCGAAAACAGATCCAAAGCTGATTTTGTGGTTAGCATCTGGGAAAGTTTTTTATTTGTAAATGATTGCTTGTGGTTTGCATATCTCTTTTTCCATATGCCCTCTGATAAACCAATGTATGCTTTGCTGACTGTGTTTGAGGAAGATGTAAATTATGTAAATTATTACATATGTAATTACATTTGTAAATTGTTTGTTGCTCTACAATATTTATTCAGCCGCAGATTTCTTTTTTTTTTTGCAATTGCAAGGG